TACTTGACAGTGTGCATCATTCTTATATATCCCTACAAGTAAGCTTTCTGACCATTTAAAAGTTGAGTTTCCTGATTCAAGTGTAGCAAAATGGAGAGGCATTGACTCTCCTGCTTTTCAGCATTCTGTTTGGTCACAGTGAATGAAACGGATTTTTTCTCTGATAAGAGAACCTCATCTTTCCTGCCAGGGTCAGTTTTGCATTTCGTTGCTATGATAAAATTTCCTGACAAAAGAAACTAAAGGGAAAAAGGGGTCATTTGGTTCACAGCTCCAGGTTCTATTCCATCATTTGGTAGGACAGTAAATTGAACAACAATCCTATTACATCCATGGTCACTGCTCAAATTCCCTGTCCAAGAAATGGTGCCACTCATAGTGTGCAGGTCTTCCCAACTCAATTAATCCCGCCATAAAATGACAACAGATCAATTTAATCTATACAGTTCCTCATTGAGACTCTCAAAACAGGTGATTCCAAACTGTGTTTTCAGTCAGTTAAAGCCATCCATCACAATCAACATGCACAAAACTATGAGACTAGTTTGTTATACATGCAGATATCTAAGACTCTTTACAGTTATTGGGAAACTCATGACTGAACTTCATATAGAATACGAAGTGCTTTGCTGCAGAACAGAGCCAAATGCCCTGAGGCTCTTTTTATTTACTTTCAAGGGCCTTCCATTTCCCACACCTGTGTATGGCCTTACTGCCTGTGACTATCAAAGTCTTCCAATGAATGCTTAGCAAATTAGTAGCTCTTTCCAACTCCAAAGCTAAACATGTTGTCAGATATAATATCAAACACAAATCAGAGGTTCCTGGATTTTCTGTGGCCCCCTTTGGTAAACACTTTGATTTATGTCTATATTTTATTCTCTAACTAATGAAATCCCATGTAGTTATGTCCATTGTGGAATATGGGACTTGAGTAAATATGAATTTATATTTCTGGGCCATAGCCACTCATATTTAGGACTTGAATAAACTATCTCTTATTTCCTTTGCTGTGAAAACTGTGGTTTGTTGTGACATAGGCATAAAGTTAGTCTAAAAGTCATGACTAACTTTAGTTTTTAGGAACTCAAACTTTCTAATCCTTAGTAGATTTTATTTCTACAAATGTGCAACAGAATAATTAAATTGCTAAGTCTTGATTTTTCATTGTGTGTATTTTAATTGGAGTTTTGTTTTGACCATTGTATATGAAACAGGATTCTCTAAAAATTATAAAGTACTCAGAATCATTTGCTATAAAAGATTATTGGATTATTATACAAAATAGAGTTGATGAGTTCATAGCAAGCATCGGTGTGCCAAAGATGTTGAAAATCGAGTAGTTGCTCAGTTGCAGTAGCTGATACTTCATTAGTCTAGACACAGCTCTAAAAACCTCACAGTCACATAGACTGTCTCATAGTGAGTCCATACTGTCATACTGAAGAAGCTGAATCTTCTGCTAGTAGATTACTATGGAAATAATTACACTTGCTCAGAAGGATGAGGCAAAGGCACACCTGTACACAAGCCATTTCCCTTGGACCCTGTTCTATCTACGATACCTGTGGAAGGTACCACACATAGTTAGGACCAGCTTCCCACTTCAGTTACTCCTTTCTGAAATACTCACAGAGGCACCATAGTTGTGTTTCCTAGATAATTCTAAATCCAGTTAAGTTGATATTCAAGATCAACTATCAAACATGGTTATATTTAAAATACCAATGACACATTTAATAACATATGGGTAATAACTCATAATCTAAAATAATCTAACAGAACTTCATTTTACTCAGTGAGTCAGAAAGGTAAATGCTTTACCTCATTTAATTCTGAGGTCATCACCCTATGGTATATTAACATTAACAGAAGACATACTACAGAGAGATTCATGAAAGGATAAATAATTGATTAACGTAGCAGAAATCAAGCCTTTTTTAAAATGTGAGTCTAATTACACTAATGCTGTGAATCATGATCGCTCTTTCCTGGAAGGTGGGTGATAAGGGAAGGGATCATTGATTAAATTAAACACATGAACTATGTAATTAGGCAGAGGTGGGCAATACTACATGAGTATGGAGAGACCTTGCAATGGTGTGATGCAAATTTGAGCCACATCTATACTTTTTCCTTTGCATGGGGATTTATACACCAATAATTTTAGCAAGTTACCATTTTAGTATAATGTATATATTTTGTTACCTTTCACATTATGTAAGATTGTAAAATATTAACATAAATCACTGAAATAAGAATGTATAATAATTTCTAAAGGAAAATTATTACATATTTGACAAACTGCATCACAAATTACCTAAGCTGCCATTGCTGGACAAAAGATATTTAGTTAACAGCAGAGAAAAACATTAAATGTAATAGTACCTTTTATATAAAATGTAATTCTCTTTATTTCAAAGAAGCTCAGATACCTCGCAAAATTTACTTCTATGTACATAAAGAAAGTAGAGATCAAATTTCATTGGAATACTTTGTGTTGTGTTTATTGAGAATCACTGGAAATATTAAGTTAGAATCATTACGTTGGTGATCTCATTATGAGCAATACCAAGCACAACTGCAGAAAAATTAGATTAAATCCCTCATCTGGACTTAATTCTATATAATAAGCCTGTTTGGATAAATGAGATTAGCTATTAATAAGGAAGTCAAAGGAACTACTAGATGAAAATACGTTGTAAAAATTATTAAGATAAATTACAATGATTAGTTTCTAAGAAATATAAGCTATTTAATTTTTAAAATTATTTAACAACTCTTGATAAGCTTTAGCTTCATGCCGTGTTGTTTGTGTTTTATCTAATATTGACACTATAAAACCTATTCTTCAGAAGATGACATTATTCCTAAACCCAAGGAAACAGCAGTCCTTTCTAGATGAAAAAAGTGAATTCTAGTGTCAGAATTCATCTCTCATTTACATACAAGTCAGTAATTTAAAAAAAAACATCCTGCGTGTGTTAGTTTTGAATCATATGGCAGCTAAGAATGGGGGAAGAGCTGGCAAACATCATCTCAAAATTTTATTATACTGTTAAAACATGCTCCCAGACAATGCTTGCAAAACATAATTTCTACTTGAGATGGTGTGATTTATATGTCCAGGGTAATAAAACATCAAGAAGAATGTTTCACTAAACTTATTTCTGCTTCAACAACAGAGTTACAAATATGATTTAACGTTAACGTGATACACTGGGGCAGGAAGATGTGCAATCAATATGCCAGAAATTCATGTCATCTGAATGCGAATCAGACAACACATCTCAGAGCAGACATTCTTACTTGCTCCACATAAGTGCATGCCTTCAACGAACATTAGTGCTTTAAAGTTAAATATGTAGAATAATTTCACATACAAAATATTCTGTACTTCCTAAAGTTAACATTTATTAGGCTTGGACACTGCTCAGTTGATAATCTAATATAATCTACTTGAACAGAGTGTATCACCCACACCGTTTTTCTCTTTGTTACTGTAGACAGAAAATATTGTAGAAATATTGTAGGAGTAGACAGTTGTTGAAAATTTTCTAAGTAGAAATGTATTCAAAGTTGTTATTCAAAAGACAGTATTTGCCTTAAGAGCTGTTTAATTATTTGTGACCACAAGGTGCTCTTACGGAACACCTGGTTGTATTCCCAGCACCTACATGGTGGCTCATAACTATGTGTAATTCCAGTAACAAGGGATCTGCAATCCTCTTCTGTCATCCATGAGTACTAGATATGCTAGTACCACATCCATAATGCATAGGCATATATGAAGGCAAAACACTCATACACAGAAAAAATTAATAATTTAAAAAGAGTTTTAAGAAACATCATTGTCTAAACACACTAAAAAGAGTGCATCCCTCTACCATATCAGGAACACATGCTAGCTTGCATGATTGTTAATTTTAAATTTTTATATTTCTGAAAAAGAATTCTTCCTATAGAAGAAGTATGGAAGCAAACAGCATGATTGTATTTTCCTCTGTGCTCAAGACTGAGCTGGTGTGCATTAGAGAATATGGAGGAATACAGGCAATCACAACGGTAAACTAAATATCAACACATAAACAGAAAATCCATAAGAACTAACCCAGGAAAAAAATCTGTAATTTTCTTCATTATTATCAGGAAGCATCCTTTAGTTAAAAATCTACAACCATAGAGTAACTTCTTGTATTGAACAATAAATTTCAAAACTAAGAATGCATCTATAGTGAATTCTACTTTTTCTTAGTAGAGATATTTCATGTTCTATTATTACCAATTCTTTGGGTTCTCCTTCTTATTTAGCTTCTCAAAGAACCTGAATTATAGGCTCAATGTCCTTTATTTATGGCTAGAAACCAAATATGAGTGAGTACATCCCATGTTCCTCTTTTTGGGTCTGGCTAACCTCACTCAGGATGGTGTTTTCTATTTCCATCCATTTGCCTGCAAACTTCAAGAAGTCCTTGTTTTTTACTGCTGAGTAGTACTCTAATATGTATATATTCCATACTTTCTTCATCCATTCTTCAATTGAAGGACATCTAGGTTGTTTCCAGGTTCTGGCTATTACAAACAATGCTGCTATAAACATATTATTACCAATTCAAACAAATAAACAAGTATCTTTATATTTTACATACAAATCAAGGAAGATAGTAATGACCAAATACCAAAATCTCTATAGGATGTATTTTAACAATTCACTTTTCAATATAGAGAGGTGACAAGAGCTAAACAGGGACAATGGTTGGGACAGGGATTTCTTCTGGACCATAAACAGAAGAAGAAAATTATATTGAGCTAATCAGAGCATCCTATGAAATAAAAAAGACTATCCCAACAGAGAAATCTGCTAGCCACAGAGAGTCGCCAGCTGCTCAAAGAGTTTTAAAATTACCTCACAGATTGTGAACTATCCTTATTTTATTCAAGATGGTATCACATCATTCTTTTCAGTTTTGAAAGATTATTTTAAAATATTTGTTTCTTACCTTTGATTCTTGAACTTTCTTGACTTTTTTCCTGCTGAAATAAAAACAAAAATATGTCAAAATCTTTAAGTATGTTTTCAACACTTTGACATAAGAGATTATCATCAACATGAGTCAAATGTTTTTATACATATACCTCAAAGCATAGTTTTAGAAATTATCTATCAAAGTAATAATAATTCTTTGTGTGCATGTTTCTCTAAGGAACCAATACATTCTACAGATAAATAAAAAGCTAGTGGCTAGTGAATAATACTTACTCATGCCTCTCCAATTCTTATTTCATTTAATCTCAATATATACCCAATAATGTTTTCCAAATTTGATTTCAGCTAAAAACTAACCATAAAGTGTGGGCAATGGTAAATATTTAAGAATAAATCTAGAGAAACCTCTCACTAAAATGGTATAAAAGCCTGTTCAACTACCTTCAGTTTAACTTAAATTAGAATTGGTCTTACTTTAGTATTAATATTGACAATTCTTTTTTCTTAAAACCTTGCTCCAGTCAAACCTGTCCATCAACTTGGCATCCTCTTTATTAATTAGAAAATAGCCTGAAAAATTGAGCTCATTCAAGTTTTAAATCAGATATTGTGTAATCTGTAACTTCTCAATTAAGAATCAAACAGAATTTATTGTCTTTAAATTTTCAGGGTCACATCTAAAAATTTTAAAACATATCTCAAATAAAATATCAAATACATTATATAGAGACATATCTGGGTATATATATATGAGAGAGAGAGAGAAAAAAAAGAGAGAGACAGAGACAGAGAGGGAGAAATACAAGAATGCCAATCAAATTTTGCTCCAATAAAAAGGAACATATTAGAGCAAACATTAATACAAAATCTCAAACTCAAGATAATCTGTCAACAAATTAGATACCCACACAAACTTATGTTATACATTGTACTATAAGTATGTATAACATATGTATGTGTGGTAGTTTAAAATATATATAATATTCTATATTTATATGTATGTGTGGTAGTTTGAAAATGTATGGTTCTCATAGACTATGTGTTTGAATGCTTGTCCCATAGAGGATAGCACTGTTAGGAGTTATGGCCTTATGTGTTAGGTGTGGCCCTGTTGGAAAGAGTTTATCACTCTAAAGGTGGGCGTTAAGGCTCTATATGCTCAAGCTATGCTCAGCGTTACACAGTTGCTTTGGATGCCTGCAGATCAAGATGTAGAACTCTCTGTTCCTTCTCCAGCACTGCCGTGAAGATACTGGATTAAATCTCTAAAACTGCAAGCCATTCCTAATTAAATGTTTTCCAGTTAAGAGTTGCCATGTTCATGGTGTTTCTTCACAGAAATAAGAATCCTAAGAAAATATATTATAATATTTATGATACAATAACTGATAATAAAAATAATGTTATAGAAAAATATAAAATAGATTTATATTTTGATATAAATACACTTTATAAATAGTTGGCTTAATGCTGTGAATTTGAAAGATGGTTATATGTTAAACTTCATGTTTATACTTATGTAGTTTTATCATTATATAGCTATTTCATATGTGAATGGTTTTATAAACATAATTTTATACAAGACTATCGTGTACTTTGAGCATAGTCAACCAAATTCCTCCTCATCTTCCCTCCTGCTATTCCCATGGCTTCTCCAGTACAGTCTTGCTTCTAGCTTTATTTACTATAAATAAATCACTTCATGTATCTATATGAAATATTGAATCCAACACTGTAAGGAAACAAGTAGTGTTTGTGTTTCTGTAACTGCCTCATTACACTTAGTATTATGCTATGCCGTTGCATCCATGCTCCTGCAAAGAGTATGATTATGTTCTTCCTTATGACTATAAAATCTATTGTATATGTACACTACACTTGTTTACCAGTTTATTTTTATGCATTGTACATTTTGGCAGTTATCATATATTTGCGATTTTGAAAAATTTGTGGTAAACATGTATATACAAGTATATCTGTGATATTCTTAATTAATATCCTTGGTACATATACCCAAACAATGTGTTTGATGTGGTAGTTATATTTTCATTTTTGCTGCTATCTTTATACACATTTGTATTGTATCTAAACAAATTTTAATTGCAACTAGCCACATGCAGAGTTTCTGTTTTCCCTGTTTAGCACCAGCATTTATTTTTTTACTTAATGGACAGCCATTCTGAGTAGTATAAGTCAAAATTTGAAAGTAGTTTTAATTTTAAATTCTCTGATTATCAAAAATATTGAATATTTTTTCACATTGATTGATTATTGCTATTTCATATTTTGAAAACAGAATGTTCATCTCATTAACTCATTTACTGATTGAAAGATTTAAAAAGTGTTTCTTGACTTTTGACTTTTATACCTCTATTTTATATGTGTATTTATGTATACATATATATGTATATTTATACTATCTATAAGCCTCATATGATATACAGCAGGCAAAGATCTGTTTTTCCATTCCAGTCTGTTTCTTTCGTTGGGATAATTCCTTTTTCTCTGCAGTTTTCTTTTCATACGATCCCATTAGTACTTGAGGTTACATCCCCGGATATTGGAACCACACCCAGAAAACGCCTGCTTCTTCTACATGCTCATGTGTTCTTGGTTTTCCTCTAGATTTAAAAAAAAAAAACTTTCGTTGTTACAAATATTATTTGATTTTTCATTATATTTGCATGGGAGGATTGTGATCTGGTTTCATTCTCTTATACACAGAAAGCTGTTTTCCCAGCAACTCTGTTAAAGAGCCTCTTTTTAATGCAATGTCAGTTTTGGTGATCACTGTCAAAATTGACATGGCTGTGCTTACTTGTGTGGGTTTATCTCTGTGGTGCCTTTTTTACTCTGTTAATCTTTGCATCTTTCCTTGTTGTTTCTTATGCCAGTACCATACTATTTTAAGACTGTGTCTCTAAAGTATAGCTGAAGTCTTCAGCCTTGTTCCTTATGCTCACAGTGGCTTTAAATTCAAGGTCGTTTTGCTTCCTTATGAAGTTGTGATTGCTTTCTTATCTTCCTTTCATTGGAAATAACAATACTAGAATATTAATAAGGTTTGTCTGAATATAAAGATTGTTTTTTGTACTGCAGATATGTCCATAATATTGAAGCTACTGATGCATGGCTAGGGGTTGTCTTTTGATATTGTATCTTTTTCAATTTCTTACTTTGTTGCTTCATTTTTTTTCACTGTAGTAAGTTTCTACAGAAGTAAGTTTTTATAAATGGAAATACCCTATAATTCAATGAACTTGTTATTTCACCCTGTCTGGAACAAATAGACATCCATTGTGTTCCTAAGAAAAGTTCCCACAAGAGAAAAAACAATTGCAAGCATATTAATCATTATGTCATTATATTTTCCAAAATATGAGATTTCTGCTATGACTAGATGAGGTTGAATAGACAGGGTACAGAGGAGGTGCTATCAGGGAGGAAATAAAATATTTATGACTTTGAATTTCAGTGGGAGCATTAAGAGCATTGACCGCCTCTTTTTAAGTTGGTATTATTATCAGAAAGGCATTTAAATACAACCATAATCATTTTATGTCATTTCTTTAATATAGCTTGAGAAAAGCAAGGATAAAATTAGGAAGCAGGGCCCAAGAATGTGTTACCATAGTAATACAGTGGATAGTATTAATGGCATAGTTTGGTGTGACAGTGGATTTAGAGCATGTGATCAGAACTGGCACAGTGACTACTAGACTAACTTTTGGACATGAGACTCAGAAGAGACAAGAATGTTAACAGTGGAATGGGATTGTCGAAGAATGGAGTTCTTCCTAGCTAGATAGGACACTGACTAAATAAACAAGCATCTTAATTCCCTCACTTATGTTCTAGCACTGTGCACTCAGTCTTCTAATTCTCTGGTTGCTCCTATCAGATATTCATAGTGAGTCTTCTTCATTTTGATTTTCTGACCCGACTTCTTCAGATTTCAACCTTCTACAAACTTTGGTGACTTTACCTGCTATTTCAGTTTGGGGGACAAATCTTGTTATAAAACTTCACAGCTTAATATTCTGTAGTCAACTGCAACATCAGACTTTTTTCTAAAATGTCTACCTGCAATCCTGACATCTGTGTCAGGATACATAATAAGGTAGTTGGCTGATCATGCCCAATGGGAGTCTTGATCTTGCCTTCCTTGAACACCCTACACTAGGTAAAAGTAATAACCCAACAATCTTCTTATTCAGATTTTGAGATTCACATCTATCATCCTTTCTTTTGATAATTATTAGACATCAATATGTTTTGAGTTTATTTTTAATGTGGAAATGTAACTTTGCCAAAATCCTGATGTGATGGAAGTCACTCTAATGTGTTGTCCTCAGCCATGAAATGCCTGAAAGAATGGATCACAGAGAATGAGGAGTTCCTCAGAAATACATGATGGGGGAAGGGAAAGCCCTAGTACCCATTAGAGAAGAAAGGATTTACGGGAAAATAAATTCACATAGTTGTAGTGACTTATCTCATGCATGTAAATGTATTAAGATTTTGTATGCATGTATATATAAAACATATGCATAAATAAATATATATATGCTCATGCATATAGCATGTGCATATATATATAATATATAAAAGACATAATACATATAATATTGTAGAATATATATGTGTGGTGTATAATGTTTATAATATATAAATTATTACATGTATATACATACATACCTATGCTATGTGTGTTATATATAATTTCATGAATTCTGTTTTATATTTTCTATAAAATGCTAACATTGTTCTAGCAATGGGGGAGGGAGAAAGTAGTAGTCATTTTCTTAATTAAGCAAATTGCAACTGAATCTATCTTCCCTTACTAATTTCTGCCTCATAATTTAAAATACAGTGAAACAAGGTATAATGTCTGTGGTTTCAAATTAGACAGATCCTAACATCTAGAATCCAGGGGAGACTATTTCTAGAAGACACATAAATTTGACACCATTAGCCTCTGTATAAATAACTATAGTCTTTATGCAGAGAAGACAGATAAAATATTCTAGAATGAAGTATTCAAAAGTAGGGGGGAAAAGTTTAATTATCCAATGATGGAGAATGGAAAGACAGAAAATTGTAGGATTAAAAATGCTGAGAGCAAGGATTCATAGACTCCCAGGTAATGCATTATTTATGAAGTGAGTTTTCAATTGTATAGATTCTTCTCAAAGGTCAAGTACAATTATCTCCTTAAAGCACCCATTAGAGTTATTGAGCTAGGTGAAATCATTGCCTTCAGATAAAACACTATTT